CCCTAAAGCCTTAAGGCAGTGATTGAGGCGAGAAAGGCGAGCTAGGCGAACGCCTGAGGCAGTGATTGAGGCGAGAAAGGCGACCGCCTTAGGCGCGCCTTAGGGATCTCGCCTCGCCTGGCTTCATTGAGGCGCTGAGAGCTCGCCTGGTCGCCTGAGGCGCCATAGGCGAGAGAGGCGAGCGCCTTTAATAACTATGGCACTCACATCCGCGTCTAGGAAGGAGATGGCAGGTTGGCCTTTAAATTTGCCCGCTGGTTTAAAGTCTCCGGCATCAGCAATTTCTCTGAATGTGCGCTGTGGAAGGAAGCTGGACATGGTTGGATGATGGTCGCCGGACCGCCATGGCGGTCGGTGGAGACCTAGCCGCAGAAAACAGATCTGGAGGGAGAAGACACACACACACACACACACACACACACACACACACATATATATATATATTGGTGGTTCGGAAGCAACACCAAACACTTCAAAGGAACCCTTCGTCTCATCTTACCAGGACTTTGCACCTGGTCCCTTTGGAAGGCACGTAACTCCAGCATCCACAACGCATCGAACCCAACGGCAGAGGGAATTTTTCAAGCATGCCTCAAATCCCTACAAGCGTGGGCATGGATAAATAGAAACAAAAAATGGATGGTCCAGGATGAAGATTTCAAGGGCTTGGGGATCGATTCATTTTGGCGCAATGGTCATAGAGTTTTATTCAAATGTGTAGCTTGACTTATTTTCTTTATCCCGCCCATGCCCCCTGTATCACCTCTCTTTCCTCTTCAATAAAATTTTCTTTCAAAATATATATATATATATATTGTGGTCATTGCATGCAATAAAAGGTGGGCACATTTCTTTTTTGCAGGCACACACATAACACATGCTTGTCGCAGTGAGTGAGTGAGTGTGTGGGAGTATATGTGAGTGTGGGTGTGTGTTTGTGTGTGTGAGTGACTGAGAGAGTGTGAGATCAAGTGTCTGTGAGAAAGAAATACACTATTTAATTCTTTATTTATCATAACAGATAATACAGAGTAATTGCCTTATATAGACTAGAGGCGTACATTCTAAAACACAAGAGGAAACTTTAATAATAGAATCTCACCAAATAACTAGTTGCTAAATAAGTACTAATCAATAATTAGTGGTGAACAAATTAGGAAACTGAATACTAGTAGGAGACTACAACTAAAGCTTAATCAAAAATTACTACTACTAATAATAGATTAATAGTAATCTAATAATAATAATGATAATAATCTTACTAATATTTATATCTAATACTTAATATTTATCATGATAATAACTACTAATAATAATTCTAAGACAATTTTGATCGTATCATTACACCCCTTTTGGAGATCAAAATAAGGGTATCTTACTTTGGGAATCCAACTGTGGCTGTTTCCAGATGACCCATGACTTTGGGGACTGTTTTCAAGAGGCTACCGTGGAGTGTTTTCTTCAAACGTTGAGGCCTGACATTGTGAGAGAGGTAAATCACTAACGATATGGCATACGATGACATGGTGTATGCAACTATCAGAATTGGGAAATGCCTTTGAGGCTAACACTTTATTTCCCGTAAAACAATGTATTTTGACTTGACGTATTATTGAGATGAGAGAGAAATCTTCAACCCAAGCATTTTTCTGAACATTCATTTGAAGTAATATTAGCTCTTGTACCGACGTTATATAAAATTGTTTTCTTACACAGTGAACTTCAAGATAAAGTGTACACAGAGCAACCTTCAAGGTTTCGTGGTCAAGGGGAGTGTAGTAGGGTTTTAATGCTTATGAGGATTGAGGAAATCTTCTACTGCACATATTAATGTGCAGAGTAAAAGTTCTGATTCAATGCTTTCAGATTTTTTCATCAAGGGCAAAATGTATTTGAGCTAGAATATCACTAAAGAAATGACATCTCTCTGATTCCATGTGACATGAGCAAGAGGGACAGAATGTATGTATCACATTAATGAAGGATTATTTACAAGATATTTGCAGGGCAAAGTCATCTTAAATCTCCTTCATAATTCTTCCTCTTAAGTCTTCTTCAATATGTTTAGAATTTGAGTCTTCATCAACTTTACGACTATACCCATCAGCATCATGTTTTTTTGAAGAAGGGAGAATAGTTGGGAGACCTTTTCATAAAAGCATTTGGGTTAATTAATTGGGTAACAAGAACATCTTCCCTTGTCACCGCCATTTAGGAAGGGTCGCCGCAGCCAAAGACCGGTTCTGAAAGCTTCACTGCCGTTGGACTTGTGCGTGCTCTGCATGCACCACTATAGTCCTCGGTCAGTATTTCATACGTCGGCGTGTGAGTCACCGCATTCCTATTTTGTGGCTGCCATTCAGGTAGCCTAGGTCGTCTTAGTTAGGGCATGGACTCTGTTGGAAGTTTGGGCTTGTATGCCGGCTTATATTTTTTGATGGGTTGCTCACTGCTCTCATT